TTTTCTATATATTTTTAGTTGTCCAATTAATTTCTTTCTATTTTTAGTAGAGACAGGGTCTTGCTCTTGCACAGGCTGGTCTCGAACTCCTGAGCTCAAACAATCCGCCCGCCTCGGCCTCCCAGAGAGCTAGGATTACAGGCGTGAGCCACCGCGCCCGGCCTGCAACAAAATTTTTAAAAATTAGATTTAAAAAGTTCTTATTAAAAAAGTACTTGTGGGGCAATCTTGCTGTTTAGGACATTAGAGTTTTCTAGTGTGCTGTACGTATGTCCCTCCTGGGAGTTAAGCAGCTCAGCGTAGGGCTCAGAAGCTGAAACTGTCCCAAGAGTTGGGGAATTGCCCGCGTGACGGCTACACTTACATCTATGATTCCTATGCAGATCTGAACCTATCACATAGAGGCTAAGGAAGATGTTTTATCTTTCTTTTCCAATTTCTTAGAATTAATTCAGATGTGAAAAGGACGGCGTTTTAAACAGCTCAGAGTCCTACTCCTTTTGAAGGGTAGTCTGGATTCTCTCACGTCAGGGTGGAGTGACTAGAAAAAGGTTCAAATGCAACGTAACGGTGGACGTTTGGGTTGAGAAGAGCCGTTCAAGAGTAAACTTGGTTCCTAGCTGGAGTCCCCTGGTGGCGAGAGAGCTAGCTGGTTACTGGGGTCCTGAGCGATCAGAGAGCAGTTTGATCACATGCACGGCTGCCTTGGGTCCAAGGGAGGAAGCAGAGTCCTATTAGCCTTGGTCACAAAACAGGTCTGGGCAGCATGGGAGCATTCTACTCCACCCCTGGTTCACAGCACAGTTCTGGTCACTTTGTCTGGAAAACCTCTCCCTCAGTGTTCCTTTCAGAGAATGAGGGTCCAGTTGCATAACCTCCAAAGCGAGAATGTGGAGAAGTGTGCTTAAATCGCGAATCAATACGGCACCTTCCCTTTTCCCAGTAACCGTTTCCTAGAGGCATGCTGTCTTCCTTGCTTTAACGAACTCTTCCAGCAGGGGGCAGCACTAAATCAAGTATTGCACAACTTCGCTCTTCAGAACTAAGAGTAAGGAATGAGGATGCCTCGAAGGTTCCTCCTTTAAAAAACCTACGCTGTGGCCTCTGGACTGCAGCTGGGGAGAGGGATTCACCTCCACTTTGCTGTGGCCCACGGGGCCATCTCTTCCCTACTTTCCCTGCAGGATACATTCAAGTCATACTCTTCTGAGTGTGAGAAATTCAAGAAAACCTCATCTTTAGGGGACGCGCTTTCCCCAGTGAAACTGCAGAAGGCTCCTTACCCTCTTGTGCTAACTCAACCTCCTGCCAATGACAAAGGGGGCTCTGTGCCAGTCATTTCCAGAAACTGAGGTGTCTTGCTGACTGTCACGGGGGTGCTGGCCCAATGCAGGACTGTCCCACAAGGATGTGTCCTCTGCTTAGGGCGTGAGGGAGGGTCACCAGCTCAATCCTGCACCTGATTTCTCTCCTTTCTTCCTTTTTTTTTTTTTTGAGACAAGGTCTCGCCCTGTTCCTCCAGCTAGAGTGCAGTGGCGTCATCATAGCTCTCTGCATCCTCAAACTCCTGGCCTCAAGCGATCCTCCTGCCTTGGCCTCCCAAAGTGTTGAGATTCCAGGTGTGAGCCATCTCACCCAGTCCCTGCACCTTATTTCGAGGTCAGGTTTGTGATTTCAGCACTGGAAGCTGAGAGCACACAACGGGAATCGCTCATGACATCAATCTCTGAAGGCCTGCTGCATCCATTGGAGGATCAGCTCCTCGGAGGCAGGGCTCTGTCCACTGCTGTATCCGTACTGCTTAGCACAGTGCCTGACACACAGCAGGCACTCAATAAATAGCCCTTGAATAGACGGGAAGAGGCTATCAACCTTCTTTCACTCCTTAGCTTTCACTTCCCTCCTTCGCCAAACCGACTCATTCTAAGCAACCCACCTGAATGCCTTCCTGGCTTTAGGTCCCTCCTCCACCTGCTTGTCCTAATACCTCCAACCAGCATCCCAGGTGCCTACAGCTCAGAGTCTGAACAGCCCAGACCTCAGTTCCACCCACAGTATGGCATTGAGGGCTGGAAAGACAGGAGTTGGGATCCTAATTGTGGCCCTCACTAGCCATGGACATGTGTAAAATGGGAATAAAAATACTTAGCTCATACATTGCGGGGATCTTAGAAGATTCTAGTGAAGCTCCAGACATACAGAAGACATCCCAGCAATGCTTTTTTTGGTTCTAACAGTCTAAACCCATGTTATCTAAACCCACCACACCACTGTTTAACAATATCCTGATATCCTCACGCGCACTAGATTCAATCCAGACGCACCTTTGCTTGTGTAGCTTCTTCTAAGCCTGCATATCCCTCCACTGTCTCTGATCGCCCCTGTCCCAATGACCTGTCACACTTACGACTCCATTTATTTGCACCATCCATGCCTCCTTGGATTATTTAGCATTTTTTTTCAGGTGTTTGTTTTAAAACTCTCTTGTATTGCCGCAAAGTCTAGCATCATGCTGGGTGTGGCTACAACGCTTTGTCAATGCTTGTTAGATCAGAGTGAGCTTGGATTTAGCTGGAAAAGGCCACTTACTGAGTCTATTGATGAATCCCACCCTTCCTGAAGCACAGGTGGCAAGACTATGGGACTTCTCAGTTGGCTGTGTCCTTGGGCCTTTCTTTGAGTTGTCTTAACAAACGTAGGGTGTAGGAAAGAAGAAAGATGGCCCCGGCTGGCGCCTCCGTCTGGCTACCAGGGAGTGGGAGGGGAGTGGAAGATGCCCACTGCTGTGCCAACAGCAGCTTGGAGGTTGGAAAATCACCCGCAGCTCAGCTCCCCCTCAACACTCCACTCCTGCTCACTAGGAACATTCTCCAAGGTTCCTTTCTTGGTCTCCTTGCCATTCACTCTGCATAATTCCTCTCTGACCTTTTCTGGGTCACCCAGACCAGAAACTTCCGACACACCCCTCCTCCCTCCACTCGCCGAGCGCTGCAAGCCTCCTTTCCCAACAGGCCCAGTCCCACCTCAGCTGCCTGGGTTAGCCGCTTCCCTCACAGGGCTCCAGCTAAACTGCCCTTGGGGGCCTTGTACCTTGGGCCATTCGTGGCCCAGGAAGGCCGTCCCCGAATTAAAATCCTTCCTGTCAAGACCCAGCTCCGCGGCGAAGGCCTCTCAAACCTCAGATTCCTTTACCGTGCAGCACTGACACAGCCCCCGCCCACTGGACCGTCACATAGGCACTGCTTCCTGCTATTCCTGGGTGACCCGTTACTATTTACAGTACGTCTCGTGATCAGGTCGTGAGCTCTTCAGGAACACACACCATAGCTTACAGCGCTTCTTTGTATTTCCTGGTTCACGGCATGTGGGATCTGCCCAACAGTTGTCCGTGGGTGCCCTGTCTCCAAGAACAGTGGTTTTGGTGATGCCAGAGGATGTGGGACTGTGACGGTCCCCTAGAGCGAGCATCTCTACAAAGCTTCAAGGCTCAGTACCCAGGGGTGTTAAGCTGGACCACAAGTCTCGCTCCCCTAACAATATTTTAACTTCCTCAAGGACAAGGACGGCGCTGTAGATCTTTGCGGTTCCACGGCACCCAGCTGGAATTGATGCTCCACACGTACCTGGGGCTTCCAGCGGGGGCTGTCGCTCAGCGAGAAAGGTGTACACTGCTGAACAATTTCCTTACTGTGGCCCCTGAACTAATAAAAGCAGCAAATTTTTTGACCCTGTCTCTTAGCGCCTGAGATGTAAGACCAAGAGGAGAATGATGTGATCACACAGACCACTGAGCAAGACCTCTGCTGGGGTGTGAGGAGGGGGACGGTTTTATTGGAAAGCTAAGGAATTGGAAAGGCTGATCCAATCTCTCTTTTGAGCCTAGCTGACGCTTTCGTTGTTGTCTTTGCTCTGGTGGTGGCCTCTCCCTGGCCATGCTTTTCCACCCACGTGCAAGGGCTTTGCTGCCTGCCTGGGGCGAACACACCAAAGGCCTCCTCCTTTCACCTACTGGACTCCAGCTGCCCCCACGGTCCTTGTGAGGGAACGGAGCTCCAACTATGCTACAGGAAGGGGCGGGCGAGGGACGTGGCCTGCTCCCCAAATGGCAGGTGGGCAAATGCTATGTGCCCAGAGGTTGTCCAGTCCAATAAGTGACTGCCTCTTGGCTAAAGGCATCCCCCCCACGCTCACCCCCCCATCCTGTAATGAGAAGCACCAGTTGCTCCTCAGCAACGATCTCTGCCTGGCATTCATTCAAGGCTCGTAGAAACCTGGCCCTTCTTTGGCCATTTGTAAAAGTCATCCTCACCCACACAAACTGCCCAGCCTGGCCAAAGTGGGCTCCTCGATGTCCCATCCTTGTACATCCTGGTTCCCCGAGACCATCTTGCCTCAGTAACATCGGGCCACTGCCTCCCCCAGCCCACCCATTCTCAGGGACCAGCTGTAGCGTCACCTCCCTGAAGCCTCCACTTGTCTGGATGACCCATCCTGTACCATCTCTTATGCTACCTTTTCTTATGGGCATGTCTTAGGTTTCAAGCACACCTCGAGGCAGAGAGCTTGTCTCATGTTTGTGTCTCCCCTGACAGCTCACACAGAGGAGCCATCACTACACGGGGCAAGGCTTGGGCTCTTCCCTTTGACCCTTGCATCGCGTGGCCCTGAGGGGGTAGGTGACAAGCTTGCCAGGCTTGGGGACAGGAGAAAGGGGCAGAAAGTCCAGAAGGGAGGTAGCACTCGCCACTGAAAAACAAGAGCCCAAGAGCAGCAGAACTCAGACTAGTCCCACGTGTCCTCCTGACTGCGATTTTACCTTCTCCCGAGCCAGTCTTGTCTCAGCTGTTAAGATGAGAATAATGCTTCCTCTACTTACCCACGGGATCAGCGTGAGAGCCCAGTGACACGCTGTATAGAACGTGCTGCAGGAGCGCTGTGCAGACAGCAGCTGGGGTCAGTTAGCGCATGGAGGTGAAAAGAGCTCAGACAGGGCCCCCAACTCTTGGCCCTAGGGCGAAGGTGGCTTTTATTTCCTCTCTTGGGGAAGGGGAGGGGAGCTTTTCCAGGCACATCAGCCTAGGGAAGGGGTGGGTGTGCGCCCCCAGAGGACGGGGCTGGGAGAGCCGGATGACCAATCAGAAGGGCTCGTCCTTGTCCACTTCCTGGCACTTGGCCGCAGGGTGTGCGCAAGGCAGTCGCCCCCCTTGGGGTGGACGCAGGCACAAGGAGGTATCTGCTGGTGCTCACGGGAGGGAGGGAGGGCAGGTGCCCTGAGTGAGGGAGCAGAGGGCTGGGGCGTCCGGCCCCACGCTGGATGCCTGCCCGGTATGGTAACTTTCACAAGGCCTGGCTGGGCTGACTCTTCTCCTGAAAAGGGCCCAAGGGCCCACAGGCAATGCTCGGTCCGCTGGCTGGGCCTTTAAATGTCCATCTCAAACTGTGACTCTTCACCTGGGGAGAGAAGGGACAGAGGCCAGGTGAACAATGGGCACATGGTCTGGCTGACGTTGTACAGGTCAGGGAAAGACCCTGTTTTTTTTCATCCTGTTTCCTACAAGAGGAGCAGAGGCCAGGTTTATGCTGCCAAGGAGAGTGGATGGAGAGCAGGCCTAGACTAGGAATTCCTGGAATCACGGGCCGGAAGGTTCCGCGTCCAGTTGTGCTCTCTTTCTCAATACCAAAACGAGGAGCAGAGACCAGGTTTCCCCACAGGGCAGAACAGTCCTGAATTTTCTATAAGTTTCATTATTTTTTATGAAGATGAATGGTTACTCGTGATTTTATAGAAAAACTTCATTGAAAAATATTCCTTACACATAAAACTTTTCTGAGCATTTGTCTGAGCATTTTTGGTTTAGAAAACAGTACCTAACCTACAGGTATGCATGCAATAGCCCACGGAGTAGCCCGACTCCGTAGCAAAGCAGTTGTTTGGGTAATCCAGCCTGCGCCACCCTCCCCCTGCTCTTTGCACAAAGATTTCCACGTAATTCATGCTGCAGTAGATTTTCTTTTTAAGGGAACTGCCTCTATTCATGGTCTCCCAGGCAGGGCTGCTCCAAAGTTCCATACAGCAAGATGCCGGCTCTGGCCCACAACTGGCTGTTTCTCCTGGTTGTATTTGCATAAATACGTGGGCTGAGAGCAGGAGCGTGGGCTTCTTATATCCAGTTAAGCAGTAGGAAAGCTATGTCCCGCCCCCTCCCTCCCCACCCCATCATGACAACGGTGTGCAGCTACTCAGCCATTATCTTGGGTTAAGAGCAGTCCATCCGGGGCCCCGCTGGGCTGACCTTGCATTTGTTAGGGTCAGAGCAGCTCTGGAAATGGGGAGGGTATGCAAGCGGGGCGGAGGGCAGCCTTCAGGCAGTGACTCAACAATTTCGGGTGTTGACTGGCTCCACCCTAAACATCCAGTCACTGGGTTAAGGCAGAGAGTGGAGGAGGGAGGCACAGCGCAGTGACCACGTGACTCTCGCCATCCTTTAACAAAGGGCAGGTAACCATGCTGACTATGGCCTCTGTCATGTTGCTCTCTGACTGTGACATCTGTCATGTTGCCCTCATACCGACACTCACCTCCCCCTGCCATTGCCCTCTGGGTCTGAAAGGCAAGGTGCTATAGCTTGAATGTGTCCCCCAAATTTCATGTGTTAGAAAGTTAACCCCCAAATTCACAAGTTGACTGGAGGTAGGGGCCTTTGAGGGGTAACGAGGATTATATAAGGTCACCAGAGTAGGGACCCTGCAATGGGACTGGTGGTTTTATAAGAAGAGAAAGAGAAGCTGGGAGCAGTGGCTCACGCCTGTAATCCTAGCACTCTGGAAGCCTGAGGTGGGAGGATCTCTTGAGGTCAAGAGTTCCAGACCAGCCTGAGCAAGAACGAGACCCCATCTCTAAAGAAAACATTAACAGAAAAACTAAGCCGGGCATGGTGGCGCATGCCTGAAGTCCCAGCTAGTCGGGAGGCTGAGGCAGGAGGATTAGTTGAGCCCAGGAGTTTGAGGTTGCTGTGAGCTATGATGACGCCACTGCACTCTAGCCAGGGCAACAGAGTGAGACTCTGTCTCAAAAAAAAAAAAAAAAAAAAGAAAGAAAAAAAGAAAAAGAAAAGAAGAGAAAGAGAAAGACTTGAGCTGGAACATGCACTCTCGCCCTCTGCCACATCACGATGCAGCAAGGAGGCCTTCACCAGATCCAGGCGCCCTTGGACTTCCCAGCCTCTAGAACAAACAAAAATGAACTTCTTTTCTTTATAAATTATCCAGTCTCAGGTATTCAGTTATAGCAGCAGAAAAATGGACTAAGACAGAAAAATTGGTACCGAGAAGTAGGGCTGTTGCTAATAATGTATACCTGAAAATGGGGAAGTGGCTTTGGAACCGGGTAGTGGGTAGAGGCCAGTTAAGAAGTGAATGCTGGAAAAAGCTTGTACTGCTGTAACGATGCTTCAAGGGAGAGAGGCTGGTGAGGGCTCAGAAGAAAAGACTAGGGAAGCCTGAAAGTTCTTAGAGATTGCTTACACGGTCGTGACCAGAGGCAGATAGAAAAGCGGACAGAAGAGGCCGTGCTGATGTGGCCTCACGTGGAAACGAGGGCTGTCTTACTGGAAACTGGAGGGAAGGGCCAAGCTGCTACCCAGCCGCAAAGCCCACAGCTGTGCTGTGCTCACGCCCTGGGGCTCCGTGGAGGCCGTGAGAGTAAGGAGCCGGGATAGCGGGTGGAAGGCATTTCTTAGCAGCAAAGCTTTCAAGATGCTGCATGTTTACATCTGGCTGCTTACAGTGAGATTTGGGAGCAAACTGTAACTTCTTACTTAGGACTAAAAGGGAAAGAGAGTGGAAAAATTTGGAAAATTCGCACGCTAGCCATGTAAAAAGTGAACAATCGTGTTCCGGTTTCGTGCTGATGGAAGGGTATCAGAGGCTATTCAGCAGGAGAAAGAAGGAGCCTGCAGGCATCTCATGGATCTCTGAGGCTGTCCTTGCTCACAGGCCTAGGGGGGGCGGCATGGTTTTAGGTGGACTGGCTGGAGGCCCCCTCTACAGGATCACTGCCCAGGGCCACCTCGGTACTCCGTCTGCTTCCTGCATGTCTGCTCCCCAAATTCCAGCACAGTGCTCCCCGGCAGCCCCAGCTGTGGCTCAGATGGTCCCAGGGGCAGCTCGACCTTCTGCTCTGGAAGGCACCAGCAGTAAGCCTTGGCATCCACGTGGTGCTAATTCTGCAGGTGTGCAGAACGCCAGAGCAATAGAGGCATGGTAGCCTCCACCCAGATTTCAATGGGTATATGGAACAGCCTAGGAGGAGACTTACTGCAGGGGTAGAGCCCCCAGAGACAGCCCCAGCAGGGTAATGCCTAGTGGAGCCATGGGAGTGGCACTGCCTCCAAGATCCCAGAACGGCAGAACCTCCAGCACTCGGCTCCAGCCTGGGAGAGCTGCAGGCACCGGACTCCAAACACGAAGAACTGAAGTGTGGGCTGAGCCCAGGGGGGCCATGGGGCTGGGGCTGCCCAAGGACTTGGGCTCAATCCCTGCCCAGGATGTGGGAAATCGAATCAAAGGAGATTTCTCTCCAGCTTTAAGACTTAATGTAGTTTTCCTTGTTGGGTTTCGGACTTGGGTGGAGCCTGTTATTCCTTTCTTTTTGCCTGTATCTCCCTTTTGGAATGGGAATGTCTACCCTGTGCCTGTCCCATCACTGTGTGTTTTAAAGTAGATGACTTTACTTTCTAGGCTCATGGCTGGAGGGGACTTTACCTCGAGTCTCACCCATATCTGACTCAGATGAGACTCTGGACTTTGAACTTCCGAGTGGGGGCTGGAATGAGTTACGACTTAGGGGTTATAGGCATGGAATGAATGAATTTGTATGTCAGGACATGAGTTTTGGGGGGTCGGGGTGGAATGCTATGGTTTGAATGTTTGTCCTCTTTGAAATTTATGTTGAAACGTAATCCCCAGTGTAACAGTATTATGAGGTGTGGCCTTTAAGAGGTGACTGGGTCATGACCTCTCTGCCCTCATGAATGGATTGAGCCATTCACAGATTAAGGGGTTATCACAGAGTGTTACAAAAAGCCTGTCTGGTTCTCTCCCGTGTGCCCCTGTCACCCTGTGACGCCTTCTGCAGCATTACGACGCAGCATGAGGCCCTCGCTGGAATCTAAGCAGACAGATGCAGGCAGCAGGCCCTTGGACTTCCCAGCCTCGAGAACTATAAGAAACAAACTGCTTTCCGTTATAAATCACCCAGTCTCAGGTAGTCAGTTATAGCAACAGAAAAGAGACTGAGACCCAGGCAACTGCTGCCTTAGACGTGAGGTTCCCAAGGTGATTATGAATCACGTCCTGCAGGCCCCGGGTAGCCGGATTCTGCTGCTGTCAGCAGGGCAAGCCCAGCTGAGGTCCCAGCTGGTTCCCGCCTGGGCCTGGGGTGCTGCCCGGGGTGCAGGGCCAGAGGGTTCCACCCTGACTAAGGTTTTCTGGAAGTGCTTAGGCTGCAGCCTCCTGCGACAGGGCGCTCAGACGCTCTAAGCCAGCCAGGATGCCACAAAGAGAGCATTCACAGGCACTGCTGCCGGGTGGCTGCTCTGAACACTTGGGAGGTGGGGACACCGAGAAGGACCTAGCTGTCAAACTTGCAGAGACAACTGGCCGCACTGTTTCTACCTGTCTCCGTAAAGATCCAGCAGGGGACGAACTCCCTGACAGGAGCCGTCCTGGATGTATTTCTTGTCTTGTAGACGTGCGTTTTCCTAGAGGGCAAGTACAGTGTGTCTTTGATAAGTTGTCCCTTGCACCACGAATGTCATGGGTGTGTTCCAGGTGGTGATGCTACAGGGACAATCACACAGAGGCGCAAGCTTGTGAAAGTTGCTGTCGCAGCCACTGAAATTTCAAACAAGCTCACCACTAACCACAGTCCCTGGCGGGGCCAAACCACCTTTCCTGGGGTTCTGGGGCTCCTTTCAGGAGGAAAGTTGGTACCAACGAAGAGTTCCACCTCCCCACTCCTGCTCCAGCCCTCCAGACTCTGAGCTGCCCCATAGAGGGTGGGGCAAAGTCACCATCATTCCCCCTCCCCAGAATTCCCCCCGGCGGCGGGACCAGGGGGGTCTCATACAACCCCCTTCCCGAGCGAGAGCCTGGCCACTCACCGCCCGCCCGCTTGTCTTCCGGGCTGTTTCGCAGGTGGTTGTGGCTGGCTTCCATGGGGGGCTCTTCACTGGTAGGGCTGGTGACCCCGGGAATGGTGGGCAGATCCCTCGGGGGTGTTTTGGTCACAGGTGAGTTCCGACACTCCATCAGGAATTTCCGGTCGTAGATGATCCTGGTACCTGGAAGGGCAACGGGGAGGTTGGTAAAGGCACCTTGAAGCCCCTGCCTGCGAGTTTTTCCATTTCTTTGCGGCGTGGCTGCAGCAGAAGCAGCAGGTTCTCTGGTAAAAGGCAGACGGGGGAGGAGCGAGGCTTACTCAGGGGCCTGGCTGCAGCCCAGGACTCTGCTGCCTCCAAACCACCCTCACTCCCCTTCACACGGGGTGCTCTGATGGACGGGGCCACGGGCCACCAGACTGCACCAGCATCTTCTCAGAACCCCACGCACCCTGAGCTCTGTCCCTAAAGCCCCTCAGCTCACTCACCCATCACTGCCTGTTGTGAATTACCCACAACGATCATATCTCACAGCGCAGAAAGTGCATTTCTATTCATTATGCAGTCTCGTCCTTACAGTAATCCTGTAGGGTGCCCAGAATAGTTTCTTGTTGAGTTTTTATTAATATTAATAATTATTTTATTAATAATTTAGCAACAGGGTCTTGCTCTGTCACCCAGGCTGGAGTGCAGTGGTGCGATCATGGCTCACTGCAGCCTCGAACTCCTGGGCTCAAATGATCCTCCTCCTGCCTCAGCCTCCCGAGTAGCTGGGACTACAGGCACGTGCCACTGTGCCCAGCTAATTTTTGTATTCCTTGTAGAGACAGGGTCTTGCTATGTTGCTCAGGCTGGTCTCACCCTCTTGGCATCAAGTGATCCTCCTGCCTCAGCCTCCCAAAGCCCTGGGATTACAGGCTTGAGCCACAGCGCCCAGTCCCGAATAGGTATCTTCAACCTCATTTTACAAACGAGCAAACTGAAAATTAAGTGACTCACCTGCACTAGTAAAAATGAGAACTTTTCCTGCCTGGGCTTTGTAGAAAGGAGTGAGGGGGAGATGAGTGGGCTCTGCCTGCCCCCACAAAAGGCTCCCCACTGAGCCTAGCTAGAGGCCCCCAGAGGGTCTGTGCCAATGAGTCAGGGCGCCCTGCATCTCCTTTTGCAAGAGCTCGCACTGCCTAGGGTGAGGACCTGTCTTACGGAATTATTCACTATCCTAAAACCACACCCAGGACCATCCCATGTGCTGAGTGATACCCTCTATGTATAAGGGAGTTGTTTCTCAACGTATGAGACCCAAGATCCTTGTGGGAGAGCCACTTGATTCATCAAACGACAGGGAACAGTGAGAAGGTTATTCTTGTTCGGTCCTTATTTAATCCCGAGCTCCTCTAAAGCAGCAGTAGGTCCTGGTCAACTAACATCTCTAGGACATCTGAGCGCTCCCTTCTCAGCAGAGTAGGCCCCGGGCTGGAAGCCTTCAGCAGACAATGGAATCCAGGCAGCACTGGCTGTTGTCATTGTATTTCTTTTTATAGCTACTTTCTATTTATGGCAAATGAATCCGGTTTTCCATATGTAGTAGTGACATTAGGTTTCCTTTTAATATATAATGATATATTGCCTATGTAATATACTATTTATTAAGTATAATACTATAAATTAAACTTAAAAGGCGATACAAAGAAATACTAAATATCTGTACATGCAGAATGCGAGCAGGGTAATAACTTGCAGACGGCCAGGGTTTAAGGGCTCCAGGAACGCCCTTCCTCACCAACAGCCCTGGAGTTGTTCCCTCATCGAAGGGCTATAATGAGTGGCATTAGAACGGCTGAGGTTCTGTTTTTTTTTTTCACATTTTACTTTTTCTAATTTTTAAGGATACATAATCGTTGCACACACTGAGATTCCTTTCTCGATGGCCAGCACTGGACTCTGTAAAGCCCTGGAGAGGAATCCATTTGCATCCCGATACCTGAGCGTGAGTTAATGAAACAGGGCTGCTTGCGGCGCGGCAGGCCTGGGATGCTGAAAAGGGAGTGGACTGGCGAGAGACACCCAAACAGACTCCGGTCTGGCCCTGGCCCCTGTAGGCAGGCACTGGTCTTGCTCCTCTGTCCCCTTGCCCAAGAGGCAGTGACGCTGAAGTTGACAGTCCTGCACGTCGCCCAGCGAGCTGCAGTTCACAGCTCAGGCTCTTAGGGGCAGGGGCGTGAAGGGACCAGGCTGCACTCTGGGCTCTGTGCACAATGAGTTGTGTGACCTGTGCACATCAGTCCCTGCGCATGTACACACACACACACACACACACACACACCCCCACTCTGGGCCCCAGCCTCCTCTTCTGTGCCATAAAGAGCTGTGCACCTTCCAGGCCGCAGTGCCCATGAGCCCAGTAGACTACAAACGGAGAACAGCAGGGTAGGGGATGGGGTAGGAGGAGGAAAAAAATTTCCAATTCTCTCTCTCTCTTTTTTTTTGGGGGGGGGACAGAGTCTCACTGTGTTGCCCGGGCTACAGTGCCGTGGCGTCATCCTAGCTCACGGCAACCTCAAACTCCTGGGCTCAAGCGATCCTTCTGCCTCAGCCTCCCGAGTAGCTGGGACTACAGGCAAGCGCCACCATGCCCGGCTAATTTTTTCTATATATATTTTTAGTTGTCTGATTAATTTCTTTCTATTTTTAGTAGAGACGGGGTCTTGCTCTTGCTCAGGCTGGTCTCGAACTCCTGAGCTCAAACGATCCACCCGCCTCGGTCTCCCAGAGTGCTAGGATTACAGGTGTGAGCCACCGCGCCCAGCCTCTCTCTCTCTTTTTAAAGTGACCCAGATTTACTTTGGTTTTGGAAGCTAGAAGGGGCATTCCTCCACCCTGCAGGGGTTAGGGCTGTACAATCTTCCCGGAAACAGTGACTTCAGGGCCCAGGCCATGGGGGTGGAGGCTCAGTGGATGGGTGGTAGGATGTCCTGGCTGTAGAGATGGGACTACTTTTCTCTGTTGTTTCTTCATCTTCAAGACTAGAGGGCTAGGTGAGGTGGCTCGCACCTATAATCCCAGCACTTTGGGAGGCCGAGGAGGGAGGATCCCTTGAGCCCAGGAGTTTGAGGTTGCAGGTTGTAGTGAGCTATGAGCTGCACTCTAGCCCGGGCAACAGAAGGAGACACGGTCTCAAAAAACAAACACAAAAACAAAAAAACCTCAGCAAGAGTCTCCCCTCTTTTTGCTTTCCCCCCAACTTGATTAGTTCACCCAGAGTAGGGAACGGATCCTGTTCAAATGAAACCTAAGATAGGAGTTCAAGATGCAACAGTCTTCAAACAGCCTGGGTTGCTTCCCTTTTGGGGCTGCCACCTAAGAGGCAGCAGCCAAAATGAAGTGCCATCCTTTTGTGACTTCTGTCTGAACCGAGAACTGCCAAAGGCATTTCAATGCACCTTCCCACGCTTGCAGGAAGATTACGTCTTCCTCTCTTTCCCACAAGCAGAGCGACAAGAACAACGTTTGATCCATGCCCATCTGAAAGGATGATGACTTTCAGGTTGTGCGAGGACACTAGAAAGGTCAGCAGATTGGCAAAGCAGTCCAGGTTTACAGGAAGAAAAATACATCATCTAGTCTACGGCCACGCCACCCTGAACGTGCCCGATCTCGTCTGATCTCGGCAGCTAAGCAGGGTCGGGCCTGGTTGGTACTCGGACGGGGAGAATATGTCATCTACACTGGATGGTGCAGCGGGACAAGGCTAATGGTACAACCGTCCCTGTGAGCAATCACCCCACAGGGTGGTCATCGCTGCACTGAAACTGGACAAAGACTGCAAAAAGATCCTTGAATTGGCCGGCGCGGTGGCTCACGCCTGTAATCCTAGCTCTCTGGGAGGCCGAGGCGGGAGGATTGTTTGAGCTCAGGAGTTCGAGACCAGCCTGAGCAAGAGCGAGACCCCGTCTCTACTAAAAATACAAAGAAATTAATCGGACAACTAAAAATATATAGAAAAAATTAGCCAGGCATGGTGGCGCATGCCTGTACTCCCAGCTACTCGGGAGGCTGAGGCAGGAGGATTGCTTGAGCCCAGGAGTTTGAGGTTGCTGTGAGCTTGGATGACCACACGGCACTCTAGCCTGGGCAACACAGTGAGACTCTGTCTCAAAAAAAAAAAAAGATCCTTGAACGGAAAGCCAAATCTCGCCAAGTGGGAAAGGAAAAGAGCAAATACAAGGAAGAAACAACTGAGAAGATACAGCAATAAAGTAATCTTATATATTATACAACTTTCATTAAAAACTGCCAAAATGGGGGGAAAAAACTACAACCAGGGGTGGCAACCCCCTGGAGAACCCCTTCAAAGGTCGCTAGCCCTCAGTGATTTTTTTAAAAAATTGATAAAATACACATAACATAAAATCTACCACCTTAACCATCGTAGGGTACAGTTCAGCAGCGTTAGGGACATTCTCAGTGTTGTGCAACGACCACCACCATCCACCTCCAGAACTTTCTATACGCACTAAACAGTAACTCCCATCTCCCCCTCCCTCTAGCCTCTGGCAACCCCTGTTCTGCTTTCTACACATGTGAAATCACACAGCGTCTGTCAGAATCTCCTTCCTGATACTCCACCGTATGCCTGCGCCACATTCGGTTTACCCGTTCATCTGACTGTGGACGCCAGGGTTGCTTCCACCTTTTGGCTACTATGGATGCTGCTGCCATGAATGTGGGTGTCTGAATACCTCTGCGAGACCCTGCTTTCAATTCTTTGGGGGTGTATGGGGGTATATACCCAGAAATGGCCCCAGCGACTTTTAAATCATTGATCGCACTTAAAAGAGAGAAAGGAAGAGCCTCGGTGCCCTTTGTCCTGTGGCTGGGGCACTTACTTAAAAATACAAATCCCCATTTGAACTAAGAAAGAGTCCACAAACAGAATGCCAGCAGACGTGGCACGATCCCCGGCCCGCCCCCCCCATCAGTGTATTTCAGCTGGGGGAGGGAAGCCGCTGGGAGTAAACAGCGCTCAGAAAGTCAGCTGACACCGCCTCAAGCCTGGAAGGAACCACGAAGCCACCTGACTCAGCCAGGGTCAACAAGGAACAGGAGCTGGAGGTTGATGCAACAGAAGTGAGTCTCCCACGGAAGCTGCTGTTGCCTTTTAACCCTTTCTCCTCCCATCGCTT